TCTACCTCTACCCGGGCCGGGCCTCTACCTCTACCCAGGCTCTACCTCTACCCAGGCTCTACCTCTACCCGGCCTCTACCTCTACCCGGCCTCTACCTCTACCCAGGCTCTACCTCTACCCGGGCCGGGCTCTACCTCTACCCGGCCTCTACCTCTACCCGGGCCGGCCTCTACCTCTACCCGGGCTCTACCTCTACCCAGGCTCTACCTCTACCCGGCCTCTACCTCTACCCAGGCTCTACCTCTACCCGGGCCGGGCTCTACCTCTACCCGGCCTCTACCTCTACCCGGGCTCTACCTCTACCCAGGCTCTACCTCTACCCGGCCTCTACCTCTACCCAGGCTCTACCTCTACCCGGGCCGGGCTCTACCTCTACCCGGCCTCTACCTCTCCCAGGCTCTACCTCTACCCGGGCCGGGCCCTACCCGGGCCGGGCCTCTACCTCTACCCAGGCTCTACCTCTACCCGGCCTCTACCTCTACCCAGGCTCTACCTCTACCCGGGCCGGGCCTCTACCTCTACCCAGGCTCTACCTCTACCCAGGCTCTACCTCTACCCGGCCTCTACCTCTACCCGGCCTCTACCTCTACCCGGGCTCTACCTCTACCCAGGCTCTACCTCTACCCGGCCTCTACCTCTACCCAGGCTCTACCTCTACCCGGGCCGGGCTCTACCTCTACCCGGGCTCTACCTCTACCCGGGCCGGAGCGCGTTCCCACCGGACAGCCTGCTCCTCCCTCCCCGGCCCGCCTTCATACCGGACCGGAGCGCAGCGGGACCAGAACCCCTCTGATTTTTCCGTTGCTCAAGAGCCAAGACGCGTTCAGGTGCTGCCACACAGCTCGGAATTGTCATCACTCACACACCGTTTTAAAGGGCTAATATGATGTAAAGTCATCTTTGAGCTTTCCATCATCATGTTCTCACACCTGGAGTGTTGCCTGGATTTTATTAACGTTAAGAAATCCTTTAATCTCTATGGAAACCACTCAGCTGACTTAAACACCTGGGTGGACCTAGCCCCGCCTTCAAGACGCAGCTCTGAGTTACAGTTTCTCCTTCACACAGCAGCCCTCCTCCACTCAGCTCCTTCAGACTAGCCAGCAGCAATTAGCAACAGCTGGTGGACCTGCTGAGCTCATTAAAGGAGCTGCTGGCAAAAATGTTAAAGAGTTAATCAAGGAGCCATGTTGACAGGCAGACCTTCAAAAAGAGCAAGAGTTCTTAAAGAGACAGGGGCCTAAATTCAAGGCCTTAAATTACAAAGTAAAATTTCTTCCAAGTCATGTTTGACATGTTCAGCATTTTTATAAGAACAGAAGATTATATAGTTACTTAATTGTGCTATAAAATGGTTCGATGAACCTGGGACACAAAATCCTGCCCCTTTAAGGAGAACAGGAACAAATGTCTCCCTAATTTGTTGAAAGTAAATGAAATAAAAATAATTTTAAAACAGACAGTTAATGAAATAGAAGAAGCTGGAAAATATGCTAAAAATCATAAAGCTTCTGAAGACTCAAAAATAATAATACTTCACCACAAACAGACGTCCTTTAATTAAAATGTCTAACTGAATGATCAAATTTAAGATAATTCCTCTCCAAAAAGCAGTTCAACCTCTTTAAAAAACTTGAATTTCGTTCTGGAGGCCAGCCCACTTTGGGGAGGGTCAGAACCTCCCTGGGTCGGTTCTGACCCGGTGCCGCCTCAGGGTGGAGGTGAGACAGAGCAGCTCTGATGCTGCGACGCTCCAGCCTTTGTTCTTCATCGATAAACTGCTTGGAACCAACATGATGACTAAACGCCAAACGGCTCAGGAGGAGGAAGAGGAGGAGCAGGAGGAGGAAGAGGAGGAGCAGGACCAGGAGGAGGAAGAGGAGCAGGAGGAGCAGGACCAGGAGGAGGAAGAGGAGGAGCAGGACCAGGAGGAGGAAGAGGAGGAGCAGGAGGAGCAGGACCAGGAGGAGGAGCAGGTGTAGAGGAGCAGGAGCTCCAGCAGCGCCACACAATCATTCACACTTTCATGAATCAGTCATGCGGCTGCGCCGCCGTGTGCGCGCATCATCATCATCATCATCATCATATGGCGTGTTACATGGCTGGTTATGCAACAGTCCACAGGAAGTGATGTCAGCAGTCTCAGATGTCCCTGTCCTTTGTTTCTCCTGTTTATTGGTAGAAATGTATCGGCAGTTTGGCTCTAATAGATCATTTTCTTTGATTCTAAATCAGATCAATAGATGAATTATTGGCAGCCATGACAGAATTGAAAGACGTTCCTCTTTGGTTCTGAGAACCCAACCCGGATCCGATCGGTTCCGGTTCCACCTGGACGGATTTGCTCTATTTCTTCATTGATGCAATATCTTTGCAGTCGGCCTGATTCAGAACTATTGTTATAATAGATCCATAAATTATTGCTGCAGATGATGATGATGATGATGACAATGATGATGATGACGACGATGATGATAATGATGATGATGACGACGATGATGATAATGATGATGATAATGATGATGATGATGTTTTGGGTCCATTGCCCAGAAATATGACGTAATAAAGATATAAGAACATTTTCTCAAAGATCAATAAACTTTATATTCTCATGAACATTTAACACTGGAAGACATTTTAAAATAAATCAACAAGACAGAAACAAATCAAATGAATTATTCTGACTTTATAAACAACATTATACTTAAAGGAAATGTTGGTTGAGTCCTGAGCTCCAAACTGAAGAGTTTTATCATCCAGAAAGAGGAAAGTGATCAATTATGCAAATAGAAATTAGAGTTCATTTTAATTTATCATGCAATTAATTGATTCATTTCTTATTACTACAGGCCCAGTTGGAAGATTATTACATTAAACTGTCACAAGTTCATTTCATGCAAGAGTTGACAGAAAAAATGTTTTTTTAAAGAATATGAAACCATATCAGTTACTATGAGCCAAAAATAAATACGGTACTAAAATGTAGTTATTTTTAAAGGATTATTGTTTGTGTCACTAAATTGTGATCAGTAAATCAGCAATCAGCTAGTAAGTCTGTTCTGCAATCGATTGGTAGTGACTCCATCCTCCACTAGGGGGCGTTCGCCTGCAGAGAACAGAAAACTGCTCTGCTGGGTTTTAACAGCAGAACTTTAGTCCAGCACAGATGAGCCGACGTCGTTTTAGCCACACAAACTGAAAACAGTGACGGATTTAGAAATGTTTAGGTTGCTGCTGGATGACAGAAACCTGTGGCTGGGAGAAGCAATCTGATGATGAGCCGCTCATCACTGCTTGCAAATACCTTCAGCAGAACCAGGAGTTTGTTTTAAGCTCTGCGTCCATCTGTACATTTATTTTATTTAACACACTTCTGTATTTTTTAACTTGTTTTCAGAAGCGTGTTTTTTGCGGTGTAAATAAACTGACCAGATTTTTGCTTTGGAAAAACATTTTGTTTTAGTTTGTGAGTTTTTATTGACCTTTCCTTTCCATGTGTGAGTTGTGATTGTTCAGAGCAACGCGGCGTCTCGGTTGTGTTGCTGCTCACACGTCGTCGGTCTGCAGAGATCAGCTCATGTTTGATTCTCCGGGCTTCAGCCGAGCTGCTGCAGTGAAACTCCTGATCTCTGCTGGAGAGCAGCAGCCTGGCAGCGTCGGCTCACATCCAACAGCAACCACAACATTAACAATCTGATCGTTCTCTGGAACGGGACTCAGAATTATTCATGACAAATTTGCTTATTCACAAATGTTTCCTTAGAGAACATTGGAAATGTAGTTCAGGAGCAGCAGCTCTACTGAGGGTCAGGTGACCGCTGCAGGCGGCAGTTATCAAAAACAATCAATGTTTTGATATGATTGATGCTATAAAGTCAGAATTGACTAATTGAGCCATTTAATTTCCCACAGCATCACATCAGCACTGCAGACACTAAGCCCCGCCCCTTCACCTGGCCAGTCCTGCTGCTGAAGCCTGATAGTTTTATGATTTATTATAATTTGTTCTGTAAGTTCAGATTGAAACAGAAACAATCTCAGGAAACAGACTTCATTTGAAAATCATGACGATCAAAACAGAACCCATCAGAATCCAGACAAACGTCCTGCTGGGCTGACGACACGTTTCCCTCCAGAACCAAAAAGATCATTTCTAGATTTGGAAAAAAATAAAAGCAGCTTCACCCCAGAAACAGGTTACAGTTCAGAACCTCCAACACGGGCCCACCAGAACCGCTCAGACCCAAAAACATGAAGCAGGTGAGAAAATGGCTGTTTCTGCCGCCAGATATGAAACCACACAAAGCAGACCTCCACCCTGACCCCAGTCCAGCTCCAGTCTGACCAGAGGACGGCAACCAGTCCAGCTCCAGTCTGACCAGAGGACGGCCACCAGTCCAGCTCCAGTCTGACCAGAGGACGGCCACCAGTCCAGCTCCAGTCTGACCAGAGGACGGCTCCTGGAAGTCGGGGTCAGGCTGAAGGAGGATCATAATGATCCGATTTGAAACAGTCGGGTTTCTGCAGAAGTTTCCTCCATGAGGTTTTGCTGACCACCGTTTGCTTTGAGGCACCGGCCCTTTAAGGACTTTGGCCAATCAGCTGTGAGGATCTCGTGTGTTTGGGTCGTCACCTCGGTCGTGCAGATGTCCGTCTGAAGCTACATGGTAGCCATGCTGGCCCACAGCATGACCCTCCCCTTTGTTGCAACAGTTGAAAGACTCTGCTTTGGTTCTGATCCGCATTCAGTTGGGAACATCTTTCCAGATCTCCAGCCTCCTTCAAGGCGGCACCAGGACGGTTCTGCTGTCGGCAGCGGCCGTCCTCCTCCGTCGACTCAGAACTCCATCTAAAGCAGTTTCCAAGCAGCCGATGACCTTTGTCCTCCAGGTCTTCATCCTCGTGACCTTTGTCCTCCAGGTCTTCATCCTCGTGACCTTTGTCCTCCAGGTCTTCATCCTCGTGACCTTTGTCCTCCAGGTCTTCATCCTCGTGACCTTTGTCTCCAGGTCTTCATCCTCGTGACCTTTGTCCTCCTGGTCTTCATCCTCGTGACCTTTGTCCTCCAGGTCTTCATCCTCGTGACCTTTGTCCTCCAGGTCTTCATCCTTGTGACCTTTGTCCTCCAGGTCTTCATCCTCGTGACCTTTGTCCTCCAGGTCTTCATCCTCGTGACCTTTGTCCTTGTAGTGACTCAGGTCTTCACAGCCTCCATCTTCATGGCTTTCATTCTCACTCCTTGTGACTTGACCCTCTTCCTGACCTCATGTTGACCCCTTGCAGAGGGAGGCAGGAAGTTGGACTGCCGTCTTTGAACTGAACGGACGTCGTGTGAGAGACGCTGAGCGTAGAGGAGGACGATAACCCGACGTTATGGAGGAACTGCTTCAGTAAACCCGTCCTTGATCCTCTGCAGAACCGGGACCGCCCTGCGGACCGGAGCTGAACCGTTCCGACCCAACAGCACCAACCAGAATGAATGAAGCACAATGAACCCTGAACGCCTCACGGACCGCATCAACGAGTCGCTGACGGTTTGACGCCACAACATCCAGAACTTTCTGTGAAACCAGAGGAGGTTCTGATCCGGTTTCACGCCGGTCCAGACGATGCTGCCATCAAACCACAGCGACGCACTGAGAGCCCAGAACCCTGCAACCCGTCTGATGGTCCGAAGCACATGAGGACTGGATGGGACATGCGGCGAGGTGGACGACACCAACAGCCCCTCCCACCAACAGCAGAGTCCGGTTCTTACCTGGCCGTCATGGCGGGGGGACAGCTTGGCCTGCGCCAAGGTGTGCAGGATTTCGTTAAGGAGGGGGGACTCCTACGGAGGTCAGAGGTCGTTTACAGTCAGAGGAAGCAGGAGACAGAGAGAGAGAGAGCATTCAATGACAACAAGAAGAGCAGAGTGGGTCAGAACCTCCAGCCAGAACCTCTGGTCTGGACCTGAGGAGATGGACATCAGATCAGCTTTACCTTTGTCCTTCAACTCAACCATCATCTCCATGTTCATTCAACAAACCCAGACCGGTTCTGTTCGGAGTCAGTTAGCCTCCAGAACCATCCAGAACTGGGTTGGAGGAGGCAGAATCAGCAGCAGAACCACCATTAGGTCCAGACTTGCATCTCCTCCTACTTTCAACCCTGAGGTGTTACTGAAGCGTTTTACTGCCGGGTCAAACTGAAACGGGTCCACAGGTTCTGGTTCCTCAGGTTCCCACCGACCCGGCGGTTCCACTGTGGTACCATAAGGAGGACTTAGATTGATCCTGCATTTCCCCTTTGTGGGACAAAACGTTCAGTCAGGAATCTGTTCAAAATATAGAATCTGTTCATATTTATGACTCATCAAAAAAGAATCAGTTCAGAGTTAGGAATCTGTTCACTTTCATAAATAATTCAGAAATGGGAATGTGTTCAAATGAACAATTTTCAGACCACGTAAACACTGAGACCCGGATCGGCGCATCGGCCAGATGGATCAGAACCTCCAGCTGTGATGACTCAACTTCTCAAAGAGAAGAAAAACCTTCAGTCAAAAATCTCCCGTCTTTAAATAACTCCCAGTAATCCCAGTAATCCCAGTATTCCCAGTAATCCCAGTAATCCCAGTATTCCCAATACTCCTGTACACGCAGGACCAGAACAGTTTCCCTGAGAACCGGACCTGGCCGGTTCCGAGGCATCAATCTGAGCCTCCTCTTCCTGACAGACAGCAGCTTTCGGTTCTGCAGCGTTCCTCTAACGTCCGACCCAACAGAACCACAGAGACCCGGTGGCATTGCGACCTCTGCCAGATTACCCATAATCCCAGAAAATCATGTAAACATGGGATTATGTGACGGGAAGAACCCGGCCGTCCACTGCTGTCATGATGACGGGTCGCTGGTTCTGATGGTCGGGTTCCAGTTGGACCGCTTGTTACAGACAGGAGCTGCTGCCACTCATCCTGCTCACCAGAACCAGAACCACAGCAGGTCCGATCTGCTCAAAACAGCAGGAAGTGACCCGGTTCTGAGCTTCAGAGCCAGCAGATGGAGGGGAACCAGGCTGGACCGGTTCTGCTCCTGTCACTTTAAACAGAACCAGAAGCATCAAACGTGGACCCAGCTCCCCGTGGAGCGGCCGGTCGGCGCCGGTCCAGTTCTATTTAAACTCCTCTGATCTATTTTTACTGCTGCTATTTTTACGGCGGCAGGACGGGTCCGTTCGGCTGGCAGCAGACGACGAGCGGCGGCGCCGGTTCTGGCCCGGTTCCTACCTCGATGCTGGTGCTAAGGCTGGGCAGCGTCTCGGAGGTTCCGGTCGGGCTCTGCAGGCTGGACAGGTCCCACAGGTGGAGGGGCACGCCAGGCTCCGCCCCCGGGAAGACTCCGCCCACCTCTGGTTGTCCAATAAGGTCACTTCGTAAAATTCCTGGATATCTGTGAGGACAGAAAGGAGAGTCCATCAGAACCGGGACCGGATCCGGGACAGAGGTTCTGCTGAACACAGATTGTTTAATGATGCTAACATCAAAGGTTCAACGTATAATGGCGAACCGACAGAAACCAGAGAGGAACGAGACTGAACTAAAGAACTGAACTAAAGAACTGAACTAAAGAACTGAACTAAAGAACTGAACTAAAGAACTCAACTAAAGAACTGAACTAAAGAACTAAACTAAAGAACTGAACTAAAGAACTCAACTAAAGAACTCAACTAAAGAACTCAACTAAAGAACTGAATTAAAGAACTCAACTAAAGAACTGAACTAAAGAACTCAACTAAAGAACTGAACTAAAGAACTGAACTAAAGAACTGAACTAGACTTAGACTTCCTTTATTGTCATTGTACAAAAAAAAACACAAGGTGAATCTTGACAACGAAATGTCGTTACTTGGCTACCAGTGTAGCACAGCTAAAACCTTAAACTACACAATAAATAAATAAATACAATACAAGTGCCATAGAATACACAGGTTCAGTGTTGTGAAAAAACTAAACTAAAGTGCATGTATTGACCATGTCCATGGGGGGGTCATTTGGTTTGTGTGTGTGTGTGTGTGTGTGTGTGTGTGTGTGTGTGTGTGTGTGTGTGTGTGTGTGTGTGTGTGTGTGTGTGTGTGTGTGTGTGTGTGTGTGTGTGTTAGTGTTATGTGGCGTTAAGCAGTCTGATGGCCCGGGGGAAGAAACTGTTCAGTAGTCTGGTTGTTCTGCACAAGATGCTGCGGAACCTTCTTCCAGACGCCAAGGGAGAAACAGTCCATGGTTGGGGTGGGTGGGGTCGGAGAGGATCTGGTGAGCGCGAGATAGGCAGCGCCTCTCTGCAATGTCCTTGATGCAGGGGAGCAGAGCCCCCGTGATCTTCTCCCCTGTCCTCACCACCCTCTGTAGAGACTTCCAGTCAGAGGCCCTGCAGCTCCCAGACCAGATGGAGATGTAGCTGGTCAGTTGGCTCTCGATGGTCCCTCTGTAGAAGGTCTGAAGGATGGGGGGCGGGAGGGATGCTCTCTTCATCCCACGCAGGAAGTGCATGCGCTGCTGGTCCTTCTTCACCAGTGAGGAGATGTGGGGAGACCAGCTGAGGTTTTCGTTGATGTGCCCCCAGGAACTTGGTGCTGCTGAAGACCTCCACTGCTGAGTCGTTGATGAGGAGTGGTGTGTGGGTGGGTCTGGATTTCCTGAAGTCTATGATGATCTCCTTGGTCTTGTTGACATTCAGGATCAGGTTGTTTCCTCTGCACCAGTCCACCAGATGCCGCACCTCCTCCCTATAGGCCGTCTCGTTGTTGTCCCGGATGAGGCCCACCACTGTGGTGTCGTCCGCGTACTTCAGGATGTGGTTGGATATGAAGTGTGGACGGCAGTCGGGTCATCAGGGTGAACAGCAGGGGGCTCAGGACACAGCCCTGAGGGGTGCCGGTGTTCAGGGTGATGACATCAGAACTAAAGAACTGAACTAAAGAACTGAACTAAAGAACTGAACTAAAGAACTCAACTAAAGAACTGAACTAAAGAACTGAACTAAAGAACTGAACTAAAGAACTGAACTAAAGAACTGAACTAAAGAACTGAACTAAAGAACTCAACTAAAGAACTCAACTAAAGAACTGAACTAAAGAACTGAACTAAAGAACTGAACTAAAGAACTGAACTAAAGAACTGAACTAAAGAACTGAACTAAAGAACTGAACTAAAGAACTGAACTAAAGAACTGAACTAAAGAGCTGAACTAAAGAACTGAACTAAAGAGCTGAACTAAAGAGCTGAACTAAAGAACTGAACTAAAGAACTGAACTACAGAACTGAACTAAAGATCTGAACTAAAGATCTGAACTAAAGAACTGAACTAAAGATCTGAACTAAAGATCTGAACTAAAGAACTGAACTAAAGTACTGAACTAAAGAACTGAACTAAAGAGCTGAACTAAAGAACTGAACTAAAGAGCTGAACTAAAGAGCTGAACTAAAGAACTGAACTAAAGAACTGAACTACAGAACTGAACTAAAGATCTGAACTAAAGATCTGAACTAAAGAACTGAACTAAAGAACTGAACTAAAGAACTGAACTAAAGAACTGAACTAAAGAACTGAACTAAAGATCTGAACTAAAGAACTGAACTAAAGATCTGAACTAAAGATCTGAACTAAAGAACTGAACTAAAGTACTGAACTAAAGAACTGAACTAAAGAGCTGAACTAAAGAACTGAACTAAAGAGCTGAACTAAAGAGCTGAACTAAAGAACTGAACTAAAGAACTGAACTACAGAACTGAACTAAAGATCTGAACTAAAGATCTGAACTAAAGAACTGAACTAAAGAACTGAACTAAAGAACTGAACTAAAGAACTGAACTAAAGAACTGAACTAAAGAGCTGAACTAAAGAACTGAACTAAAGAGCTGAACTAAAGAGCTGAACTAAAGAGCTGAACTAAAGAACTGAACTAAAGAACTGAACTACAGAACTGAACTAAAGAACTGAACTACAGAACTGAACTAAAGATCAGAACTAAAGAGCTGAACTAAAGAACTGAACTAAAGAGCTGAACTAAAGAGCTGAACTAAGGAACTGAACTACAGAACTGAACTAAAGATCTGAACTAAAGAACTGAACTAAAGAACTGAACTAAAGAACTGAACTAAAGAACTGAACTAAAGAACTGAACTACAGAACTGAACTAAAGATCTGAACTAAAGATCTGAACTAAAGAACTGAACTAAAGAACTGAACTAAAGAACTGAACTACAGAACTGAACTACAGAACTGAACTAAAGATCTGAACTAAAGAGCTGAACTAAAGAACTGAACTAAAGAACTGAACTAAAGAACTGAACTAAAGAACTGAACTAAAGATCTGAACTAAAGATCTGAATTAAAGAACTGAACTACAGAACTGAACTACAGAACTGAACTAAAGATCTGAACTAAAGAACTGAACTAAAGAACTGAACTAAAGAACTGAACTAAAGATCTGAACTAAAGAACTGAACTAAAGATCTGAACTAAAGAACTGAACTAAAGAACTAAAGATCTGAACTAAAGAACTGAACTAAAGAACTGAACTAAAGAACAAAAGATCTGAACTAAAGAACTGAACTAAAGAACTAAAGATCTGAACTGAAGAACTGAACTAAAGAACTGAACAAAAGATCTGAACTAAAGAACTGAACTAAAGAACTGAACTACAGAACTGAACTAAAGATCTGAACTAAAGATCTGAACTAAAGAACTGAACTAAAGAACTGAACTAAAGAGCTGAACTAAAGAACTGAACTAAAGAGCTGAACTAAAGAACTGAACTAAAGAGCTGAACTAAAGAGCTGAACTAAAGAGCTGAACTAAAGAGCTGAACTAAAGAACTGAACTAAAGAACTGAACTACAGAACTGAACTAAAGAACTGAACTACAGAACTGAACTAAAGATCAGAACTAAAGAACTGAACTAAAGAGCTGAACTAAAGAGCTGAACTAAAGAGCTGAACTAAAGAACTGAACTAAAGAACTGAACTACAGAACTGAACTAAAGAACTGAACTACAGAACTGAACTAAAGATCAGAACTAAAGAGCTGAACTAAAGAACTGAACTAAAGAGCTGAACTAAAGAGCTGAACTAAAGAGCTGAACTAAAGAACTGAACTACAGAACTGAACTAAAGATCTGAACTAAAGATCTGAACTAAAGAACTGAACTAAAGTACTGAACTAAAGAACTGAACTAAAGAACTGAAATAAAGAACTGAACTAAAGAGCTGAACTAAAGAGCTGAACTAAAGAACTGAACTAAAGAACTGAACTACAGAACTGAACTAAAGAACTGAACTAAAGATCAGAACTAAAGAACTGAACTAAAGAACTGAACTAAAGAACTGAACTAAAGAACTGAACTAAAGAACTGAACTACAGAACTGAACTAAAGAACTGAACTACAGAACTGAACTAAAGATCAGAACTAAAGAACTGAACTAAAGAACTGAACTAAAGATCTGAACTAAAGATCTGAACTAAAGAACTGAACTAAAGAAATGATCTAAAGAACTGAACTAAAGAACTGAACTACAGAACTGAACTAAAGATCTGAACTAAAGATCTGAACTAAAGAACTGAACTAAAGATCTGAACTAAAGATCTGAACTAAAGAACTGAACTAAAGAACTGAACTAAAGAACTGAACTAAAGAACTGAACTACAGAACTGAACTAAAGAACTGAACTACAGAACTGAACTAAAGATCTGAACTAAAGATCTGAACTAAAGAACTGAACTAAAGAACTGAACTACAGAACTGAACTAAAGAACTGAACTACAGAACTGAACTAAAGATCTGAACTAAAGAGCTGAACTAAAGAACTGAACTAAAGAACTGAACTAAAGAACTGAACTAAAGAACTGAACTAAAGAACTGAACTAAAGAACTGAACTAAAGAACTGAACTAAAGAACTGAACTAAAGATCTGAACTAAAGAACTGAACTAAAGAAGTAAAGAACTGAACTAAAGAACTAAAGATCTGAACTAAAGAACTGAACTAAAGAACTGAACTAAAGAACAAAAGATGTGAACTAAAGAACTGAACTAAAGAACTAAAGATCTGAACTGAAGAACTGAACTAAAGAACTGAACAAAAGATCTGAACTAAAGAACTGATCTACAGAACTGAACTAAAGAACTGAACGAAAGAACTAAAGATCTGAACTAAAGAACTGCACTAAAGAACTAAAGAACTGAACAAAAGATCTGAACTAAAGAACTGAACTACAGAACTGAACTAAAGATCTGAACTAAAGATCTGAACTAAAGAACTGAAGTAAAGAATTGAAGTAAAGAACTGAAGTAAAGAACTGAACTAAAGAACTGAACTAAAGATCTGAACTAAGGAATTGAACTACAGAACTGAACTAAAGATCTGAACTAAAGAACTGAAGTAAAGAACTGAACTAA